TTATCAAGCATGATGTCCTTCTCCAGGGAATGATCCCTACCCATAATATGCCCAAAGTTTGAGAGAGGAAGTCTAACCATCTTGGCTTGTAAGGAGCATTTTGGCTTTACTTCTGCCAACACACATTGGTTTTTATCCTGGCAATCCATGGTACTTTTAATATTCTTCTCCAACACCACAGTTGAAATGCATCAATTCTTTCATGGTCTTCATTGTCCACATTTCACATGTATATGAGGCTATTGAAAATACCATGGCTTGAGTCACACGCACCTTAGTCCTCAAAGTGAGTGACGTTTTTGCTCTTGAACACTTTTGGGGCTGGGTCATCCTTATTTGTTGGGGATTATCCTATTTATCGTATGCATTGTAGAGCATTTAATAGCATCCCTACCTTAGCCTCCACCTGTTAGAGTCCAGTTTATTTAAACATATGTGTGTGTGTGTTTGTGTGTGTGTTTGTATGTGCTCCACTGGGGTTTCATAGATTGCCAGAACTGTCTTCCAAGGCATCTCTGGATAGAATTAAACCTTTCAGTTAGTAACCACATGTTTAGCTGTTTGCCACTCAAGGAGGACTCCAGTAGCTATTTGTGACAAGGAAAGTATCTTTGGACACTGCCTACAAGGGGTGAAGTTGTCCTTGTTAGAGAACTGCCTGACCGTCATGTTACTGTTATTGTCAGGTGTCCTCGAGTCAATCAGAATCAGAGTGGCACCATGTGACAGTGGAACTGTATCATTAGATTTCCAAGGCTGTCATTTTTACAAAGTAGATTACCAGGCCTTTCTCCAGAAGAGCAGCTGGGTGGGGTTCAAACCACCAACTTTTCACTTAGCAGCTGAACATATAACAATTTCACCACTGGGGTTCCTTGCTTAAGAACTATTGATGTAAAATACTCAACATCCTGCCTGGTACTCACTGGGTCTGAGTTGAGTTCCAACTTGACTCTGTTTGGCTTCTGAGGACCAACAAGGTAAAGGGACTCTTTTTTCAGGTGGGCACGGAAGCCTGGGGCTACCATGGACCTTCCCTTCCATCTGTCCACTCCTGCTGAGCTTGATCCTTATGTGTGTGTGCACACACATGTGCAAACACATCTGTGATGCAGACATACAGTGGTGGTGGGCAGTAAATCCCAGAACAGACTACGACTGTCTCGCTCATTTCAGACGACTTTCTCCAATGCTCATCTCCAGGGCTAGCTGAGCCACCCCTCCTTGGTTTGTGTAGAATGAACTCTCTCCCTTTCTGCTGATGCTTGACTGCCGTCTTTGCGTCCTGCCCAAACTTATGTGACGGTAGCTTCTCATGAGTGTCCCCATATGTAATGATAATCCCGAAAATCACTTAAGCCTTGTAGACCACAAGATCACAGTGATTGGACTCTGCCACTGTTGTGCCCCAAAATGTAAAGATGTGAGCATGGCTGTGTCCCAATAAAACGTTATTTACCACAACAGGCAGTAGGCTAAGTCTGTGCTTCATGTCACTCGCCAATCCCCATTCTACTTGCCCTCCCCACCAATTCTGTCCCCAGATGCCAGATGCACCTTTACCCAGGCATGCCTTTGCTTCGCTTTGTGTTATTGTTGGTATTAGTTGCCTTCACATTGGCTCTGACTCATGATGAGCTTCTGTGTACAACAGAAGAAAACGTTGCTCCAACCTGGACCATCTTCATGATCGATGGCGAGTGTGCTGGAGTCCATGGTGGCAGCTACTGTGTCTCCACATCTCACTGTGTGTGTCCCTCATATTCACTGTTCCTGCCCTTTACCAACCATGATGTCCCTACCTAGCAGTTGGTCTTTCTGATGATGTGTCTGAAGTCAGTAAGACTTTGTCTCGCCATTCTCACTTGTAGGGAACATTCTAGTTGTATTACTTCATGCCTACCTTCCAGCTAGTTTGCTATTGGTACTAGAGGTAGGACAGGGACACAGTCTCCTGCCCTCAGAGAATTCACAGAAAAGGAAATCTATTAATTTGTGTGAGAGGTGGTCACTCGCTGTTATGGATCCCAGAGGGAAGTATACTGACTTGATTTACAGATCTAAGAAGGATGGGTCTCATCATCCGAGGGATGAAAGAGAAGCAAAGCATTACCAGCCAAGAGGCCAGGGAGGGATGTCCCAGGCAGTATGTGTGAAGACTTGAAGATGAAGAGAAGTTGGAGCTCTTCTACCTTCCATGCCCCTGTGCTACATGAGGGCAGGTAGAGCTCGACTGCTTTCTCCTGAGACTGTCCTGCAGGAAGGAAAGGAAATGTTTGGGTGGAAATAATTTTGGCTCAAGGTTGGGAAGGGAAACTTTGGTCCATTGCTCTCGGCTATTTTTCATGCAATCATTCCATACTCCTCTGTTATTGTTAAGTACTGTCGCATCAGTTCTGATTCATAGCCCCCCTGTAAAGTGTTTTCAAGGAGTAGCCAGTGGGTTGGAACCACCAACATTGTAGATATTAGCCCTGTGCTTTTCTTACAGCGCTCCTATGAAGTCACATTTGGAATATCCATAAGTGTCTCTCCCAATTTGGAGTCTCTGTGGGGGTCAAATGGTTGGTTAATGGGCTAAGGGGGGGACTGAAAGGTTGGAAGTTTGATGTCTGGGAAGAAAGCTCTGGCAACTTCTGAAAACTCAACTATTGGACATGCATAGCGTCACCATGAATTAGAACCCACCTGGTGGCAGTTGTTTGTTCTCTGGAGATTTCCTAAGGCTAGAAAGGCTTCCTTTTCTGTGTGTGGTAAGCCAGTCACCCTACACCCAACAACCATTGTCATGAGGGGAAATGTTAGAAAGAAAGAAACAGTTGTACACTGTAGCTTCCAATGACAGTCTTTTGGAGAAGCTAGTCTCGGGGAAGAAGGGCCTGATGGAATACCTTCCCTGGGGAAATGTTTTAAACATTGCCTAAGCTTACCTCTCTTCAAAGTGTCGTTTCTAGCATTCTAATTAAGGTCCTTTCTAAACAAATGCATCAGTGCTGGGAGCTGCTCTGGGTGGAAGCCTTCTCCCCTTGATGGCATAATGGTTTAGCTGCATTCAGGTTGTTCAAGCTGAAGAGTCTCTCTAACGCTGGTAGTGGCAACTGAGGAGATGGAGCAATTCTGCCTTTTTTTTGCAATGGTGTCATTAGATAAGGGCTAAAGTCACATCTAATTGAGCACAGATGATGGGAGAGAGGCAGCTATTCGGTGTGCTTAATTGTTACGCTTTCTCCCGGTCTGACCTGCTCTCTGTCTATGCAGGTCGTGCAAAATGAGGACCACTGGGTTCCATTTTCTGATGCTGTGTGTACAATAGACAGGGAGTGTATGTGTGTGATGGAGTATATGTGTGACTGTGTGTATATGTGAACGTGTGCAGTGTGTGTATGCATGCATGATTACATGTGTGTGATAGAATATGTGTGTGACTGTGAGTGCATGCGTGTATACTTAAGTATGTGACAGAGTATATGTGTGACTGTGTGCAGATGTGAGTGCATGTAGTGTGTATGGATGTATGCTTACATGTGTGTGATGGAGTATATGTGTGACTGTGTGCAGATGTGAGTGCATGTAGTGTGTATGGATGTATGCTTACATGTGTGTGATGGAGTATATGTGTGACTGTGTGCAGATATGAGTGTGTGTAGTGTGTATGCATGTATACTTACATATGTGGTAGAGTATATGTGTGACTGCCTGTAGATGTGAGTGCATGTACTGTGTATATGTTTGCATGAGTGTATGGCCATATATGAGTATGTGTGTCCATGTGTGAGTGTGTGTGTGTGCCTGAGTGTGTGAGTTCACGTTTGAGTGTTTGTGTCTGTGTACAAGTGTGTGTTCGAGTATACGTGTGTTTGTGTATGTCTATGTCTGAGTGTTCATGTGTGACTTGTCCATGTACATGTGTGTGTTCTTGTGTGATTGTGTGTGTTATGTGTGCATATGAGTGTGTGCCCATGCATGATTTTCTGTTCCATGTATGTTCATGTGTGTCCATGTATGAGTGTGTGCCTGTGTACGAGTGTGTGTGTCTGTGTATGAGTTTGTGTTCCCTGCATGCTCATGTGTGTCTGTGTTTAAGTGTGTGTATTCATTTCCAAGTTTGTATGTATGTGTAGGGTATTAGATTACGATGAGAAGTGTGAGAAGAGAGAATTCCCCTGTTCAAACAGTTAGGTAACATGTCCCTACTTCTCAAGAATGCACGCAGTCCAGTGAACACGGGTGACAACATGGGTAAGCACTCAGCTGCTAGCCAAATGGTTGGTGGTTCAAACCTACCCAGGGGCTCCACGGGAGCATGTCCTGGCAATCTGCTCCCATAAAGACTGCAGCCTAGAAAACTCTCTGGGGGTAGTTCTCCTCTGCCTCATGGGGTCACCATGAACTGAAATCCAAGCTACTGTACCCCCAACACCAGTAACAGAATCTTACACTTAACTAATGCTGACAACTCAGTATGCAGATTTTACCAGACTGCTTCCAAAAGTGCATGGAAAAACGGGATGTAAAATTAATGGCATCTTTCCATTAACTTTTTGAAGCCCCCGCGTATATCAAAGGGTCATAAAGAAGTCTTAATACTTAAGTAAAAATAATAATAAGAAAAAAAAAATGGTTCCATTTCATCCCTCCTGGGGTTTTAAGGCTCCAATCAGGTTTTCTGTTAAACAACAGCTTGTTCACTAGTTTTCTAATGGGAATGAATCAAGCAAGAAAAGCTTGAATAAAAATAAAATACAGACCCCCCACAGTCCTATGCCATTGGGCTGAATGACTTAGGGAACGTGGTTTGGACTTCCTGAACCTCGAATTGTGCTTTGTGAAATTGGAGTGAATGATCGTCAGTTTTCCTGCAGGGCCCTGGTGAGCCTGGGGTGGTCCATTGCAGACTGTTAGCTGATGGACCTACCAGGGATCGCTCAGCAAACAGCAGCTCCATATCTTGGGAAGGGTCTCAGGGTTTTCTGTCCTAACCCGCGTTTCCTCTCTTCCAGGGTAACCAGGACGCAGCAGTAGCCCCGGACACCATGGCCCAGCCTTATGCTTCGGCCCAGTTCGCACCCCCCCAGAACGGCATCCCCGCGGAATACACGGCCCCTCACCCCCACCCCGCACCAGAGTACACGGGTCAGACCACGGTACCGGAACACACGTTAAACCTGTACCCTCCCGCCCAGACGCACTCAGAGCAAAGCGCAGACACCAGCGCGCAGACTGTCTCAGGCACCGCCACAGTAAGTGCGCCTTCTATGGGTTGGGGAGGGAAGTGCAGTCTGGGTGGGGTAAGTGTGGCCTAAGGGTTAGGGGGTGGGGGGCAGGAGGTGTCTCGAAGCGCTGCAGAATGACAGCAAGAACACACCGCCACCCCCAGGACTGTGCACCCACCCCCTCCACCCTCCTTATACCTGAGCCACAGTTTCTGCCTGGTCTGTCTGAATTCTGCCCTACTTTTCCTTTAAGTCAACCCATTTTAAAGTAAGGGGATTGAAAGGGAGGGAGCCCGGGCGGCTCTGTGCTTAATCACTTGCTTGCTAACCAGAAGGTCAGCAGTTCAAACCCACCAGCCATTCCACGGAAGACAGATGAGACAGTTTGCTTCCATAAAGATTTACAACCTCAGAAAACCTTAGGGACTAAAATACTCCTTGATTTTATAGGGTCGCTGTAAGTCAGAAGTGACTCAGCCATGGGTTTAGTATTTTGGTTTTTTGTAATGGGAAATACCTCGACTTACCATCCTCTAAGTGTCACCTTTTCCTGAATTCCGTCTCAGTGGAATCATACAGTATATAATCTTTTGGTTTAGTAACGTTGTTGTTGTTGTCGTAACTCATGATAATCCCACCCACGTGACGGAGCAGAACTTCCCTATACGGTTTTCAAGGCTGTGTTCTTTATAGCAGAGTGCCTGGGCTTTATCCCGTGGAATCTCTGAGTGGGTTTGAATTGAACCAACATCCTTTCAGTTAGCCTCTTAACCCTTGCTCTACCAAAAGCCAAACCCAAACCCACGTCCAGGAAGCCAATTCTGACTCATAGCGACCCTGTACAGGGTTTCTGAGACTGTACATTTTTTAAGAGAGCAGAAAGACTCATCTTTTTCCTTAAGGGTGATTGGTGGATTCGAACTACTGACCTTGTGGTTAGCAGTCCATTGGTTATCCTACAGTACCACCAGGCCTCCTTTAAAGCCTTTCTGTGATGGCTTTATTCATATGCCATAAACGTCCCCCATTTTGGGTACAAAACTCAACGATTTTGAGTAGATTTGCTGAGTGGTGCACACATCTATTCAATGTAGCTTCAAAGCATGTCCATCACCCCAAGAGAAATTTTGTGTCCATCTGCAGTCACCCGGCCGGCACAATCCCAGCCTTTTGAGTCCATCCTTTCTCTGTCAGTTGATGCAGAAGATGCACCCACGTGGCCCTGGGTTCATTCATTCCTGTATAGATTTTAGCTGTCGTTAGGGGGAGGTTTGGGTGACCTGGTTGGTTGGTGGTGTCCTGTTGAATCCATTGGCTCAGACTCATAGTGACCCTGTCTGGGTTTCCAAGGCTGTAAGTCTTTACAGGAATAGAAAGCATTATCTTTCTCCTGCAGAGGAGCTGGTGGGTTCGAACAGCAGTTAGCAAGCAACCCAGTGTGTGTTTGACAATTTGCAGGGGATTGTAACCATGGCTATGTGACCATATATGATAGGATGAATGTAAAGCTAATGTTCTCCCATGTAAACTAGCACATAATTCACAATAAAACATTTTTTAAAAGAAGTCATTTTAGGGGACTTGGGGGGCTTTTCTGTATCTTGATGGTGATGGTTATACTACTTTATGTCTCAAAAAGAGTGAGTGATAGTGTATGTAAACAAGGAAGAATTTAAAAACCAGCAGCCAAAACAAACTGGATTACCTTCCAGTCAATTTTGACTCACAGAGACAGTATTGGACAGAGTAAACCTGCTCTGTGGAGTCATTAAGGCTGTAAATCTTTGATGGAAGTAGGAGACCCCATCATTCTCCTGTGGAACAGGTGATAGGTTCAAATTGCCCATCTTTTGATGAGCAGATGAGTACTTTTAACCTCTGCACCACCAGGGCTCCTTGAATTCAAAACAAACAACTCGAAAAGAAACAGTATTCACCACTATAATGAAAATTGGAGTCCCGGGTTTCAACCACAGAGTTGATGGCTCAAACTCACCAGCCGTTCCTTGGAAACGCTATGAGTCAGAACCTACTTGATGATATTTAAGAACAGCAATGAAAATAATCAGTCTCTCTGGCTTAGTCAGTTAGCACACTTGGCTGTTAACCGAAAGGTTGGTGGCGCAAGCCCACCCAGGGACAGGAAGGGATAATTTTTGGAGTTTTAGTGTTGCCCTGTAGGATGAGCACTGGACCACAAGGTTATTTTGAACCACAAGGTCGGCACTTGACACCCACCAGCCCACATCTTAGAAACAGTATACAGGGTCACTATGAGTCAGAACTGACTTGATGGCATATAACAACAACATAATGAAAATTAGTACAATTGGTCATTAACTCAGAGATAAGCCTAAGCAAATGTAGATAAGTGTTAAAATTAAGCAATGTTCATTTATGGACCCCCTGAAACATTGATGTGTTACCACAAGGCATGAACACACCACTCATGGGAATCCTTGCTCTGCAGAATTCTTTGGAAACTAGAGTACACCATGCATCAAGCCTAGAGTATGTTGTAGGTACAGGGTAGTTCTGTATCTACCCCCCTGCCCTCGGGGCTTTTAAATACTTTCTGGAGTTTGTGACAAAGTTTCTTGGCTGAATAAAGCATGTCATATTTCCCCTTATTAGAGGTATCTGCTTGCTAACTTGGCTGCTTAGCACCTCATTCATTTGGAGGTTAGGTTTATAGATTTGATTTATATATACTCATTTCTAGAGTATCTAGTGCCTTGAGTTGCTTTTTTTGTGGTAAAGACATATATCATGAAATATGCCATTTTAGCCACATTTGGTAGAGGGTCAACAACAAAGAGGAAGACCCTTGATGAGATGGAGTGGTACAGTGGCTGCAGCAGTGGACTCAGATACAGACCCCATTATGGGGATAGTGCAGCACTGAGCACTGTTCTGTTCCGGTGTGTATCAGCTCACTGGGACTTGGAGCTGACTTGACAGCACCAAACAGTAACTGGTGGTGTTTCAGTCACTGGTACTTTATGCATGGACAGTGTCGGACATTATCACAACTATTTAATCCCTGGCTTTTTTTTTTTTTTTTTTT